ACAACCCACAACCCAACCACAACCCCCATCCCTACTAAACCTCCCCTAAACACACCCCACCAAACCAAACCCACACAATAACCCTAAACCACCTCTTCATCAAAACCCCCTCCCAAAACACACACCCTCCTTTCACCACACACATTACCTAACACCACTAAACATCACCCAACCCTCTTCATTAAACCTCCCTCTAAACTCTACACCCTCCCTTCAACTCAAACCCTCCCACAAACTAACCCACCTTCTTCAATCTAACCCTCATAACTCTAAACCTCCTCATAAACTAACCTCCTTTCAAATCTAAACCCTACTTCCAACTCTAACACCCTCCTCTCAATCTAACAACCTTCCACTTAAACCTTCCTTTCATCTCAACCCAACCCTTACAAAACACCACAACCACACCATCCATTACCAAACACCACCACATCAATAAACAACCTCACCCCCATAAACATCCCAACCACGATAAACCATACACACCACACACACACAACAACTTTCACACCCAAAACTCTAAACCACCCCTCTCCAACTCTAACCACCTATACAACACAAAACCCTCCTAAACTCAAACATCCTCACCAATTAAACTATTACTCTAAACTCATAACTACAACCACACTACAACATCAACACTTCACAACCACACACCCACCAATAAAAAACCTATACATCACATAAACCATCCCTCAAAAAAACCCAACTTCAAACTCACCAACCTCATATAAATCTAAACTCATTAAAACAAACCCTCACACCCATCACCACCACCAAACACTCTAAACACTACTCAACACTAAACCACACTCAACACAAAACCCTATCACTCACACTACCATACAACATAAACATAAACCTCCCTAACTTAAACCCTCCTCTTAACTCTAACCTCCTCATACAAACTCAAAACCTTCTTCACTACTACACCACCTTCCAACTTAAACTCCCTTACTCTAAACCTCCTTACACCCTAAACCACTCTTAACTTAAACCTCCTTAACTCAAAACTCCACTTAATCTAAACCACCACACACCATCTCACCACACCTCAACAAAACACTTCACTACTAACCCACCTCACAACACACCATAAACTCAAAACCCTCCCTTCCAACTCTAAACCTCTCTTCACAATAAAACACCACTCAACTCAAAACCTTTCTTTCACTCTAACCTCCCTCTCAACTCAAACCTCCTTAACTTAAACCACTCACCCTCTAAACCCTCCTTAACACTAAACCTCCATAACTCTAAACTCTAACAACACTAAACCCCTCACTCAACTCTCAACCACCTAAACTACTACCCCCTCCATAAATTTAACCCTCCCCTTTAACTCTAACCCTCCTCTTCACTCTAAACTCCTCATATAAACTTACATCCTTTCAACTCTAAACCTCTCTTAACTTAAATTTCTTAACTTAAACCTCCTCTCAACTCATACACATCCCCTTTAAACACAACCTCCTCTTATAATCTAAACTCTCTTAATTAACCCTCCTACAATAACACTCCTTCCACTCTACAACATCAACTCAAAACCTCCCTTCAACTCTAACACCCTTAACTTCAAACACCTCTCACACTAAAACCTCCTTCACATCTAAACCTTCCTTTAACTTACACCTCCTCTTACACCAAACACCCTCCCTTTAACTCTAACCCTCCCCTTAACCTCTAAACCCTCCTCTAAACTCTCAACCTCTCTCACCTCTAAACTCCCTAACTCTAAACCTCTCTTAACTCTAAACACTCCTCTAACTTCCCACACTAATCACTAAACCTCTCTCCACTTAAACCCTCCTCTTAAACTCTAACCTCCTCTCCACTCTAAACCTTCCATTCAACTCTAAACCCCCCCCCTTAACTCTAACTCCTTAATTAAACCTCCTCTTAACTCTAAACACCTCTCAACTCTAAACTCCCTTAACTCTAACCTCCTTAAATCTAACCTCCTCTTAACTCTACAACCTTCCTCACAACTCTAACCCTTCCTTAACTTAAACCTCCTCTTACCACTTAAAACTCCCTCTTAACTCTAAAACCTCCCTCTTAACCTAAACCTCCTTCATAACTTAAACCTCCTCTTCAATCTAAACTCCTCTTAAAATCTAAATCCTCTTAACCTAAACCTCCTCTTAACCCTACCTCCCTCTTATAATCTAAACCTACCTCTAACTTAACCTTCCCTTTCTAACTCAAAACCTCCTCTCCATACTCTAAACTTTCAAAAACCTAAACAACAACAAACAACAACACCACACCCATACAACCAATCCCTCACACAAAACAACAACAAACTACTCTACTCTAAAATAACATCATAAATAATACACTAACCAAACCTCATTACCAAAAACATACTCTAATCTAAAAACACCCAAAATATCAACACCAATAACACATACACAACACACAAATATATATATAACAACTCATAAATACAATCCCCATCCACACCCCAATTCTCCCACATACAACAAAAACCCAATTATAAACCCTACCTACCTAAATAACCAACTACCACCCTTATAATACATAAATCCTACCATACATCATAATAAAAAACCCATTCCACTTCCATTCAATATACACCACACCAAAAAAACCCACCCCAATTTCAAATCTACACCAAAAAAAATATCCTAAAACACCTAACACCATATCACAATTCAAAACAATAAAAACCATCCAACCCCCCTACCCACACTAATCCATCCCCATAAAAACCCCCCCCCCACCCCAAACACCCAACCCCCACAATCACTCACCTTTAAAACATTATCCCATAAATAAAAAAACAACCCCCTAAAAACCCAAAAAAATACCCTTCACATACCACTCATTTAATCAATATAATCCCAACATAACACATCCCTTAATTCTTTCTTTTCCCTCATACAACATTATACATATCACCCCACAATATCCACACTAAACTTCCTAAAAATAAATATCACATTACCACATTCAACAAATCCTCCCCCAAAAACCAACCCACAATAATCAAAACTATAAAATATCCAAATATCATATCTATATCACCCTTATATCTCCTATTATCATTTAACCCTCTATATCCCCTATTATCATACCCCTATAATCATACCTATTATCTACCTAAATCATACATATTATCATACCCTTATTATCATATCCCCACAATTATCAACCCATTTTATAAACCCCCCTATTATCATACCAATTAATCATAACCCCCTATTACATACCCAAAAAAACAAACCCATAATCAACCTTTCATTATTCATACTCCAATTATCCTACCCATCTAATCATACACATAACAAACCCCTAAAAACCACCACAAAAAACCTCAAAACCACCCCATAAACCTATCCCATCCCCCAACCAAAAACAAAACACCCCCCACCCCCCCCTCTACCCCCATTCTTCCAAAAACATAATACCCACAAACCATCCCAACACACACAACCATCTCACCACTCTCAACCATTCTTCCATTTCACACCTTTACTCTCAATCTCACCTTTCACACACTTCAACATTTTCCATCTTATTCCCTTACCTTTTCACTATACCACTAACACACACATCCTCATTTAAACTCTAACTCTATATCACCTCACATCTCCCATACAACCAAAACACCCACACACCACACACAAAACATAACCACACACCAACTACCCAACAACAACTCTCATCAATACACACCACTCACGACACACACAAAACACCTCACCTAAACAAACAATCTCTCACACCAATCACACCACACTTCACACACTACACACACAACCCATCTCACAACACATCTACAACCTCTCTCTCTCTTTCCTCTCACACTCATTAAAAACACACACACCACTCAACTAACATACCCTTCTCTTTCCCTCATCACCATTCATTATCTCCTCTCTAACTCTCTCTCTCATCATTCATCCCAAAACACAAAACCAATAAAAAAACAAATCAAACCCTCCATTATAACACTCACCCCTAAAATTCAATATCCCATATACACTCACCCATTAACATCATATTATCCTTATACACACTCACCCAATACTAAAAAATCCCTTATAACTCACCATTATAATTCATATATCCTTATACACACTCACATCTCAATTCATATATCCTTATAAACAATCACCATATAATATATATCCATTATAACACATACCCCTATAATTATATTATCCCTTATACACACTCACATATAAAAATCTATCCTTAACCCCACACCCATATAATTCATAATCCCTTATCCCCCAACAAAATAAATCTCTACAACCCCACACAAACACAACACTCTACAATATAAAACTACCCATATATTATAAATCCCTAATAACACAACCCATAATAAATATATATCCATATATAACACCACTCACATATAATATAAAATCTCCCTTTACACACTCACCCCATATAATTCATCTATCCCTTCAAACACCACACTAAACCCCAAATAATCCTTAAAACATACCATATATAATATATCCCTTATACAACACTCACCATAAATAAAAAAATCCCATAAACCCAACCCTCAAAAACACAACCCATAACCACCTCACCCTCACCACACAAACCAACACCACCCACCCCAAAATAATTAACCCATATACCCACTCCCCATAAATACACTACCCTAAATCAAACAACCAAAACATAAAAACAAATTAAACTCACATAACAACCAACAAATAACAATACAAAAATACTTAATAAAAATAAACCACCACAAAATAAAATACCCAAAAATCCTTTCCCATACCACCCCACATCTTACTAAAAAACAACCATACATAACCTACAAACACCCCAAACCCCCACAAACAACTAACTATAAAACACACACCCAACACCAAAAAACAAAAACCCAAAAACTCCAACCACCAACAAAACCCCAACAAACACCCCAAAACAACCAACCACCCCACACCCACACACAAACAACTCACCAAAAAATAAATAAATAACTTCCCCAAAAACTAAATAAC